GAGTAAGTGAGAAAGAGGACTMACACAAGAATTACTGCAAAGAGGATGTACTGATTTTTATCTGTGAAAGGTGATACAGGCTGTCTGGACTGCTAAATTAGCCGTAATCTAATCTAATCAATGAAAGACACATCAAGTGTTGCCACTCAACCTCTCCATCAGCTGCAGGCAGCTGAAACAATCAAAACTGAGATTCTCAGGAATTGCTTAGATCTAGAACTCTTAGAATAAGATTACCTGCTCTTTTCCCTTTTAATTTCACTTTCAAACTAATGTGTGCCAAGGGCAGCTACATGAGTCATGAAATATGGTACAGCTTTTAAATACAAAGCATTTCCCTAACTGCGTATTTGCTGGCACAAAAAAAACCCCAACCTCCCCTCCTCACTCCCCCTCCAAAAAGATAAAGTGTTTTGTCCATACATATACTGGAAGTATAAAGAACAACTATGCATAGAATTTGCAATCACTGAGATTTACAGCCCTGACCTGACTGTCATAAATAGTTATGTCACATACACACTTATTAAGTGCCCTGAGCCTCATTTTTCCTCTATACTTGCAGGAGACACACTTTTTTTGATAAATACTGTATTTTGTTATCCCTCAGAAATRTCCTGTTGTCACTACTTTACTGGAAGAAACAGGAAAACATAGATAAGATCAAAAACTACAGACAACAAACAGCCCATACCTATTTTACACTATTTCAACATGTAATTTACACAGGWTTGCTTTGCTTCAGAGAAAATTTAAAAAGGGTAGGAAGGGAAGAATCCTTACAATACTTACAGAAATATTGTTTGGAAAAAAATACATGTTACTACAGTACAGACTGCATCATGCTTATTCTCACCTTGCTTTAAAGCTGTGTATCACTCTCAAGTGATCCATGCAAGATTACTATAGTCTACCATCCATACGCTAAAATTCACTATGCAGGGGGCTGCCTCTCTGTGGGAAATGTATGCAAACCCAGGGAGGCTAAAGCCMCTTCTCCACAGACCTTGCAATTGTGTTAACAGGGAATCATTCAAAACCAATAAAACTGTAACAACACGAAGAGGATGCTCCTTTTCCCACTATGTACCTTCCACCACCATCATTACCAGCTCACCCACACATGTTAAACAAGAGAAAAATACCCTGCAGACAGAGAGCAAAAATCACTAATGTAGGTTTTGTGGTTTTTTTCTTCACGTCCCAATACAGCATCTTGCAGGTGGGTCCTGTTTGACATTAGACAAGGTTACTTCAATTTTTCATTTTTTTTCACTGAACTCGTAGAGAACACAAGTGAAGCACAACCAGCTTGGTTAGAGAGCACACCAAGGGACTGCTCTTATCCAGGATGCTTTGATAAAAACAAACACCTTTTGTGTCTTGAGAGTCACTTGAACGTAATGTGCTTCACACAGCATGAGAGGGGCTGCTTGATTTTCCAAAGTGCTTATTTAAGAAGCCCAAATTTAACACAACCACAGGGAAATTATATGTACAAACAATAGCTGTCAGGATAATTTTAGCTTCCTTCCACACCTGCAAATATGCATTGTATAAGGAGGTTGCCTTGTCTCTCATGTAGGGAAATTTTCTCTGCTCCTGAATGCTGGTGAGAAGCTCCATCCTGTTGTACTGAACACCTGAGAAGCCACCCAGGGCTGACAAGTGAAACATCAGGGCTATCCCCATCCCTGCTCCCACTGCCTGCTTTTCTCCCTGCACCCACACCCAAGATGTGATGGGAAGCTCACAGGAAATGAAACCCTGCAGGCAAAATGGTTCGTCCCTGCAAATGAGAATAAGATTTCTAAGATTTTGAGGGTTCAAGTGTTTCCTCACCATCACCTCCCTCTCCTCTTGAACCTTCTGCCTTACAGYTCCTCTTATGGCAGTATCACCTGTTGCCTTAATTCCCTTTCATTTATCAAATTCTAATGGATTTAAGGCACCCTGGCCAACTCCACAGACCACACCTAAAAGGAGCTTTAGCTTAGCAGGTGGATTATGCAAGTGAAGACTGGTGTCCTTCAGAAATGGAAAATGAGAAGACAGAACAACTTAGTGTGGCTATTAAATTTGTTAYAGTAGGACCTCTCCTGCCAGGCTTTACAGCTGTGCTCCCCCACTCCAGCACAGCTACTGCAGCTCCGCCACCCCTGACCCTTCAGCAAATCTCTCTTTCCACCAGCTCAGAGATGTGATCAGCGCAGCAAAAGGGGCAACTGTAAAAACGAAGCACTGCCTGATGCCTTCTCAGACCTTCCTCCTCCTGCCACCCACCCACCCGGGTGCCAGCCCTGCCTCCCACGCAGGGTGCAGAGGCCTGGGAGGGATTTTCCGCTCCCTTCCTCCCCGCGCAGGAATGCAGGAGAGTTTAGTGCTGAGCTGGTAAATGCCTCATTTCACTGAGCAAGCAGTTTTAGGCAGGACACTATATAACAGGCAGGCTCTGGCACTCTGACATTGGGTGTATTGAGCCACAGCTTGCCTGCTGTAACCTCTAGGAAATRCTCAACCGTAAGACCCTTTCCAGGAATGCACAATGTGTTGGGCAATACTCAGAGCCCTGCTGCACGCTGAAATGTGCCTCTTGGGCTTCACACCTTGACACGCCTTTGCAAATATGGCTTTCCTGGGCTGGAAGTCACAAACAAATCTCAGAATCTCCCTAAAAATGTAAATCTTACACTTTGACCCTGGAAACACAGGCTGGCTTTGCTCTGTGAATTGGAGAAAGAGTCTAGGGAGCAGCTGCACAAGGGTCTTGCCCTGCCCAATTGCAGACTGCTTTTTGCCATATATAACTCTCTAAGAACTCAGGAAATGGCAAATTCCTACTGTCTGGAAGGAAAGGCAAATTAAGTGTAGCCCTTCTGTACTTGAAAGGGTAAAAAGAACTTCTGGATTTTCCTTCCTTTAGTAATAAAAACACCATTTCAGACTCTGCCGCTGAAGAATGAGCTTCAAAGTGGGCAATAGAATCGCAGAGAATTGTTTTAAGTTGCCTGTTTACACAAGCCATTCACGTAGAGTGGGTCCCGCTGAAAGGAGCAGCCCTCCCAGGCAATGCCAGAGCCAACTGCTCTGCTGAAATAGCAAGAGAAAGACMGGACAAAATACTGAGTGCAGGATCAGAATATTGTAACTCTACGTAGGGATGACTACTGAAATATATTCTCATTCTACAAATTCCAAATTCAATCGCAGAAACAACTACTGAGGCACGTCAGCACGGAGGAATGAAATGCAAGATAGCCGCGATGCCACGAGTGAAGGAGGGTGCTTAGAATCCCCGCTGAAACGGCTTCATCTTCATCTTCACTCCTAGCCAGGGAGAAAACCGAGGGGTTTTCAAGACTCGTGCAGCAGCACCGTGCTCAGGTGCTGTTGCTGCAGGCACTATATACATTACTCATTAGGTCACAGCAAAGCTCAGCCATTACCTGSCCTGTACCCCAGGAAGCCCTGAAACTGCACAAACAAATCAGCGATAAAATTTAAATGCAACAGCCTCACTTCAGAGCACCCAGAGAAGTTCRTATTAATACTTCAGAGGTATATGTGTAATCAATTCAGCTGCAGGGAAGAAAGACAAAATGCACTTTGGTCCTGCAGGAACTGAGGGGCACAGGAGAGGAGACACAACTGTCCTCAGCTTCTTAAATCCTCSTGGGGCACTAACTCCTCCAGTTTTCACTGTCACGTGGACAACAGGAGTTTCTCAGCATGCATTACTGCGGAATACATTTTCCCACTTTCTGTCCCTTTCAAACTTTTTCTGTAACTTTATGCCCGTTGCATGATCCTCAGCTGCGCCTCCGAGCAGGCAGCAGCACCTCCTTTGCTCCTCAAAATAACCACCAAACAGGCACACGAGAAARAACGCATGGTATCGAAAGGGCTACAGGTACAGCGAGGTGGGAGTGCCCGTGGCTCGAAGGAGAGCGATGGTACAGCAGAAGGCAGCGCTGCAGCATGCCTCAAATGCCACTGACCTCCGGTTAAATGAACTCCTGGGCAAATATGTAATCACTTTATCAAACACACGCCAAGGGCATTTCTGAAGCTGCTCATTCTCTCAGGTGGAGCAAGTAAATTAGTCCTTGTGAGAAGACAGGGATTAAACAACCGTGCACGCCCCTCTCCTCATGAACTCTTGGTCTGGGGGAATCCGGCTCTGCTTCTACTTGCTCCCCACAAAATCCGCCCGGTTCTGGGGGGACACCCTCCCTCCACGTCTCCTCCACGCACACCAGCGCCTGCTCCTTTCTCTGGGCTCAATTTCTGAGGCTACTTTTCACAAAACTGCTTCAGTCACCCTTGAGAAAGGAAAAGGCGCTGCTTTGCAGGGATGGGTCTGCGAGGCACCGCCAGCTTAATTTTAAACCGCTTTGACCCATCCCTGGTCGGGAGTTGGGTGGTGGAAGGAGGAACTGGAGACAGGGTGTTGTCAGGCGTTTCGAGATGACTGGGGCAAAGTCACCCAAGCCATTCCCTTAATGTCAGGAGAGGAGGGGCGGGGGGGGATCTTTTACTTCTTTAACCCCTCCTCTCACAGTACCCAATTCTCCCCACCCTTGYTGGGCTGAAAAGGTGTGAAAACGGCCCGACGGCAGATCCAGAAGATGCCTCACCCTGGAGGAGGATCGGTCAGGCTCCCACCGGGAGCCTCAGCCAGGAGCAGCCCCGCCRCCGCGCCCACACGGGACTGCGGAGGCTCCACCGACCGCCACGGACGGGGCTGCGGGGCTGCGCCGGCGGATGCCAGGGCAGAAAGTTCAAACCCGGCTCCCCGGCATCCCGCTTGCCCCTTCCCGAGGGGCTGTGTCCGTAATTCATGCCGTCGGGGGTCCCGGCGGAGTACGGGGTGTGAATTCTCCCCGCTGGAAAGACGCCCGAGATGCGCRGGGTCACCCCCGGCTCGGCTCCTCYGGGGCAGTCCCGCCGCACAGCCCCTCGCCCCGGGGCGGCAAAGCCGGGCCGCCCCGCTCCCCTACCTTCCAGCAGCACCTCCTTGCCGGCCCGCTTGAGCGCCTGCACCGCCTCGTCGTGAGTGGCATCCCGCAGGTCCGTGCCGTTCACGGCCAGGATGGCATCGCCCACGTAGAGCGCCTGGGTCTGGTCGGCCGCCAGCCCCTTGAAGATCTTGCTGATGAGGATGGGCATCTTGTTCTCCTTGCCCCCCTTGATGCTGATGCCCAGTCCGCCCAGCTCCTGCTTCAGCACCTTCACGCAGCGCTTCTTGTTGGAGATGGCCTCGGGCACCTGCTCGGGAGGGTCGGTGAAGGCGGTGCGCACCGCCGCCGGCCCCCCGCCGCCCTCGGCCCCGCGGCACGCCGTCCCATCGCCGCCCAGCCCGTTGTGGGCCGCGCCGTCGGGGCGCTCCTCGCCGCTCAGCACCAGCGCCTCGCCGCCCAAGTTGGCCAGCACTTTGTGCCAGCGCTCCCGCACCAAAACTTCCAGCCAGCCGCTGCGCTGCGCCCGGCCGCCCCCGCCGCCGCCCGCCGCCGCTACCGCCATCTTAGGAGCATGCTGGAAGCGCCGAGTGACGGCACCCCCGGCACGGCACCGCGCGGCGGCACCGGACTTCAGCCGGGGGGCGGCAGCTCCGGGCGCGCCGGGGTGGGGCGAGCGGCCGCGGCCACCCCCCCGGGGCYGCGCTGGGGCGGGCACACCTGGCGGCACCGCCCGCGGGGGAGTGGGACAGGGGGGTCCCGCCCCTCCCGCGGGGACACGCCACGGGCCACCCTCCGCCGAGCCCCGGGCCACCCTCCGCCCAGCCCCGGGGCACCCTTCTCCGAGCCCCGGGACGCCCTTCTCCGAGCCCCGGGACACCCTTCTCCGAGCCACGGGCCACCCTCCGCCGAGCCCCGGGACACCCTCCGCCCAGCCCCGGGCCATCCTCCGCCCAGCCCCGGGACACCCTTCTCCGAGCCCCGGGACGCCCTCCGCCGAGCCCCGGGCCACCCCGCCGAGCCCCGGGACACCCTTCTCCGAGCCCCGGGACACCCTTCTCCGAGCCGCGGCTCCCTTCGGAGCCGGGCTGTGGTGGCATCTGGCGGTGCCACCCCCGGCAGCTGCCGTCTGCAGTGGGCTGTAGCGGGGAGCTGAAAGAAACACACGGCAGGGAAGAAATAAGGAAGATCCAACTCTGTATTTACCCGGAATTTTTTCTAAAAAGCGAATTAAGACTAACGGGTTGCCGCGAGGTAGTTAAATTTCAGCTGTATGGAAGTAGAATACGAGTTACTTCACGGGTTTGTGGGATGGAGTTCTTCTTGCGACGGATACTTTTGCACGTTTTTTAATTGTTTTCTATGCCCTTTGATTATAAATTTTAAAGGCTTGTGAGGGCTACATTTCCCATTTTGCAGTTTTTCCCATGCTTCGTTCTCTCCTAGCAAGCAATAGGTGCCTGACACCTCGAGGCTCCAACTCAGGCATCAGAGAGGGCAATGCTTTCGCACTGTCTTTTTGGACATGTCCCCAGCAGGCYTGGAGGTGCCGCTGCACAGCAGCTGCAGACACGAAACACCTCCAGAACTGCCTTTGTTTCTGCTCCTTGCAGAGCARCTCTGCCTCCTTCCTGGAGCAGAAATGAAAACTCCAGCTGGAATCAAAACTCAGCAGTTCTGGACTGTTTGGTGTACGTAAGAGCAACACTTTGTGGAGGTTAGGTTGTGATGGGCAGTGAGGTTAGTCGTAGTCCAAATCATTTTGGCCATTGTGAGTAATGCGGGTCCCTGAGTGCCACATCTTGCTCCTTTTTAAAGTGATGCYGTTCACACACATGCCCCAGGTTAATGTGGACTGGGCAGCTTGGGACTCACCTCCTCATCCCTACACATGGCATCATCCTCAGACCAACTTRTCTTGGTTTAGTAGGGTCTCTCAGACCATGCTGCTTACACTAAGCTATGCTCAGCTACATTTCACCTTCCCTCCAAAAGGGATGAAAGGAAGCCTCAACCCTGTTTTGTGTGCAGCCTCACCCAGGCTGTGCTCGGGAATCACCTCCCTGGTAGGAATGCAGCCCTGCACCCACAGATAGTGGGAATCCACAGGCAGTGGGTTATTCAAGGATAAYGGGTGGGTGGAGAAAAAGCAGACGGAAGAGAGGTCTCTCCATTTCTCATGTTAATCAATGCAAGGTGAAAAGCTATAATTAAGTTTTCAGGGCTGTGAATCCAGAGTGAAAAGAAGCATGTCCCGCTAAACCTGAACAAGGCACCTAATCCCTAGACAGGAGGAGGCTGTAACACACCCTTTTCTCCAGCTGATTCCTCCCTTGCTGATTTAGGTAGCTCATGTACAATATCCTGGATGTTTGGGTTGGTGAGTTTTTGTAGATCCTATTCCCAAGTGCACAGCATAGTTAATGAATGTGCCCATTCAATTCGAGGAGCAGCTTCAGGTAGGTGAGAGAAGGATGGGAGGGAAAAGACAGGCTTGCAAAAATCAGGTGTTAACAGTGCCAGTTGTCACAGCACTCACATTCCTGTGGAGCTTCAAGCCCAAGTGACCAGGGCAAGTTATAAATCCAGRCATGTTTCCCAAGGAGTCAGCTCTTACCAACAATTGTTTCATGTTTCTCCTTCATGAATTAATAAAGGATCAGTGCTACTGCTGATGGAAATGTATGTTTTTCAAGTAATTTCAGAAAATTTACAAGGAAGAGATATTCAGGTGGTTTCTGTTCTGTTGTGCAAAGGTAATAGAGAAGGGAAAATAAATGTTTAATTCCTCACACTTCCTCGGCACACTCTGTGTTTGGGCCGTGTTTGCTGAGCGTGTCTGGTGCTCCAGTGGGATTCCCGTGGAACTGACTTGTACAGACAATTGCACTGCATGTATCCGAGAGCTGTGCTTGCTCCAACTATTTTCCTTTCCCATTCCAACAGAGGTAAATAATAAAGTTTCCCAGGGCCGACATCTGAGATACGGATCYGTGGTACAAAAAAGACTTCATAGCAGCCTTCRCTGCTTCCTTCTCCCYCTTTCTGCCCACCTTGGATCTCTAAAGAAAACAGAGGTGAAGTTTTAGTCTTGAAAATAAAAGTRAAGATAGCATAAGAGATGCTATGCCACAGGCCCGAGGCAAACAGTGTCCCAGATTGTCTTTCCTCCYGGAGACACTGCAATTGATACCTGATTTCTGTGCTCCCTATCCTGGGAGTGCAGGTTTGTAATTGTGTTCATGTACCCTCAGTCTTTGTGTACCCCAAGAGCCACTTGTGGCTGCTGAACTGAGGATGAGAAAGGAAAAGTGTCTTGAGATTTCTCTGTGGGTACCTCTGYCAATATTTCTGTCTTCAGTTCTGCCTCAGGTCTGCCAATCACAGCTGCAGGGTCAGTTTCTGAAACTCAGGTTTATGTGCCAGGAGCAGAAACAGAAGATAAAAGCAGGTGTTCAACTGGATGTTCAGCTATTGGATGATCAGGTTTGCCACAGAAAAGAATTGTTACTCCAAAGTCYRCTGCTGGTCCCTAATGGTTTCCAGRGCATAGCRGAAAGCAAACTTCTACTTCAGCTACAAACTTTTCCTGACAGTGATATTTCTGACATTTTCTGTAAATATCCACACTGCAATTGCAATTTTCAGTGTGACTCTTTGCAGGGAAGTCAGATGTGCAGTGGGATGGGCAACGCACTCAATATTTTCATGCTTCATCTCTAATCTCTACAAAAGCTTTCACYRCAGACAAAGCCAGGCAAAACTCTCTCTCCATCAGTTGTCTTCCTAAAGGGTTTGCCGTGAAAAATGGAGTCTTTCAAACAAGTCAAATAATATTCTTTTGATGTTTTTATTTTAGTAGTTCTTAAATGCTTGAACTAGATTAGTGTCCCTTTCAGTCCTGCTGCATAAACAAATTTTTAGGCATGATAATGCTGATAGCTGCTGTTGACCTGCAGGGGCTTATGGGCTCAGCTAAAGTCGAGGGCCTAAATGGAAGAAGCAGTTCAGTGAACTGGAAGAAGTCAGGGCATTGAAAAACACAGAAGCTGTTTCCCAGGACAAGGAGCACCAAAGCATGTGCAGGTCATAAAGYGCAGCAGTGATGTCTGAGGAGTTGCCGGGGTGTCCAAGCAAGATCAAAGGATTTGGGGTCTGTGCATATGTTCAAGAACAAAAATACAAGAACAACTGTGCAGAAAGGGTTTTGGGTATGGCACTGAGAATGTCCTTGAGGCTCAGCTTCACTAAAGAGGCTACTGGAGATGGAATGAGGGCACTTCCTGTTATTGGGGGGTTTTCCACCTGTTTTCAGGCAAAGAGGTCAGTGTTCACATCTTATGTAAATAAACTGTCCTCCTGATAGCAAAATCATTGGAAAGCCACAYATGCAAGCTCACCACTCACACAGTGGTGCAGGGAGCATAGCTCCTATTCCCTTCACAAGCAGAGAAGGTAAAGACACAGGTAAGGTAAGAGCCTTCCTACAGCTGGGGCTTCCTTATGATTGTCCATGCTTTTCTGTAGCAGAGATGTAATTTTTGAAGGACTTTTGGGACATGCTAAAACCCTTCTAGTGTCTTATTTTTCTTCCTTTTTGCATTATCAGTGTTACAACAGCACAAAGCCAGCTCAGCCAAAATTCGTTTAAATTGGAAACAACAGGGTTGTGATCCTTGAACATGTTTCAGATGACGGAGGTTGGACAAAATCAGGTCTGGATAATGACGTTCCCATCTTGTTACCCTGACACCGACCAGCTCAGCAGACGGATCTGGGTAGGAAGGAAGTCCAGTGTCGGAAGGCCAGTGCTGGAAACACGACAAGAAATGAGAAAGCTGGAAGGGAGTTCAGCTCCTTCAGTGATCCCAAACACTGCAGCAGCCAAGTTTGAGTTCCTCTCTGAGGAGCGTGCCTGAATTACTCGTTCCCCCGTGGCAGCCCCTGCTGTGTCTGTGCCTGATGGGATGTACAGGGCAAGCTCCAGCCCTGATGCAGATGTCCCTGTTGCATGGTGGGGGATGTCACACGTGGCCTGTGTCATGCCTTCCAGCAGGCACTGTTGGTGGAGGGCAGGCAGCCCACCTAATCCCCAGGAGTGATCCTCCTTTCCACAGTGCTGAGGGAGCCTGTTGGCTTTAAAATCAGCATTCAGCAGTCACTGCTTGTTGGAGCTGGTGGGGTTACAAAGATGTCAAGAATGCCTGAAGATCTTCATAACCTGGAGGCTGCATTATATTTATTTTCCAAATTACAAAAGCATTTGTTTTTCTTTTCCTAGTTTAAAGCTATCCAGGTTTTTCCACACATCATGGCATTTGAAAATAAAATGAATGTGTAGCTGTTTGCCAGCAAACACTTTATACATTCCGTTTTTCAAAGCAGGAACCTACTTGTGTGTACATGAAAGAAGTATGTGTGTGCACCTACCTGCGTCACGTGTTAACTAGGCAAACGGAGCAAATGTTCCCACAGCCATGGAGGTATGGACCATGATGCAAATGTCTCCCTTCTGCAAATACAACTCTGGCACAAGTTAATGCAGAAATGGGTGCCAGAAATGTTCAGTGCATGGATCTCAGTCTAGTTCCTCCTACCATTAAAATGACTTCAAACTAGACAGGCTCAAGCTCAGAGCCTCAGAAACTTCTGCCATGACTT